TGCCCCGGACGGAGTCGGCAGGCGGCTGCCGGAGACGGACACGGACACGGACGGCGGCAAACTCGGCCCGGTGGCCAAATGAAAAATCACAGCGCCGTGCCAGAAACTGCTCAGCTTGCCCCATAACTATACGAGGCAAAAGTATTTTTATTGTGCGGCTGCCTCGGCTGCCCTGGCTACTGCTGCTCCTGCAGCTGCTTGGTATGTTGCAAAGTCATATTCATTCGTTCATTCATTCAGTTCAGAGTTGCAACACATTTTTATGTCTCCTTTTTATGCGCAAAGTGTGAATGTGAATATGAATGCTCTGCTCTTGTATCATTTTATTTTCTTTTTTATTATTTTTTTTTTTATTTGTCCTTTTTTTAGCATTTTCATTTCCTATTTGCACATTTTTCACTTCTGTCCGTTGGCTTTTTGATGCGTCCCGTTTGTGTTTTGTGCAGTTAAAAGATTTATAAATATGAATATTATACATTGTGGCATGAAATATGCAAATTCTAGAAATGGCCAAAGGAAATAGAAATGGTCAAAGCGGAACTAGCACCTCCTCGGCTGCTCCTCCCCCCTCTCTCTTTCCCTCTCTGACCACTAACTGGTCTGGACTGTATCTTTTCAAACGATTCCTGTAGCTTATATATTTTTTAAATATTTTTTTTTTGCGCTGCACACAGATGCATTTAATGACCGGCAACAGCAAAGGACATGAAGTCTCTACCAACTGCCTGCAACAAATGCAGTAAATGGTCCATCGAAACCATTGAAAGGAGAGATTTAAATACCCTAATAAAAAAAACTACTATTATTTATGGACTGCATTCCGTGCTGCATTGGTAAAGGCTTAAAATACCAAAATACCCTGTGAATTTAATGCTGCTAGAATCATAACTTCTTATACAGAGAAAGCAGTTTAGGGTTACAATTGATGCAAATTTATTTGTATTTATTTTATATTTAAGGCACGGCTGAAATAATAGTATTTAGTGTCGAATCTAGCCAAGCCAAACCTAACATAATTTGATCAAACCAATCAAAAAGCATGCTTAACCTAACCTAACCCTGCCTAACCATCCTTTCTATGCACAACTTGCATATAAATCAAAATAAAAGAAAATACTCTACGTTATATATTTTCCAAAAAATCATAGGGTATATTAGCGTCGACTCAGCAGCTTTTCAAATAGTTAACTGCTAAATAATTAATTGCTATTTATATTTTTTTGGCTCATCTGTTGTTATTTTTTTCTGTTTGAAATTTTTTTGCCACTTTTTTAAATGAAGTTGTTGTTGTTGTTGTTGCTGGGTGCCATAAATCAGAGCATTTTAATGCAAATGCTGTTGCAATTTTATGGCTTAAATTAGCAATTCGCCGAGCGGCTATTGGCCATTAATATTTATTAACAGGCGGCGCATGATTAATGTGCCATAATAAAATTAGTTATAGAAAAAACCCAAAAATTGTTAAAAACAAAAGGCAAGCAACTGACATTTACAATTAAATTATTTAAAGTTCGCAATGCAAGGTTTAATTAATGTCAAATGTCAGCAATTATTCTAATCAAACGGAAACCGTTGAAGCAGTGCCTGAATAGAGAGGCGGGGACAGGGGACAGGGCAGTGTATGGTCTAGCCGCAACATTAAAATCAATTAAATTATGAATGTAATTAAAATAATTTAATGGCAGTGCTCTTTCGGCCACCCGATGACAGCTGTAATATTCAATTTGATGACGCAATTGCAGTTAATTAATAATTCAATAAATTACGCAAAAGCCACTTAAATTTAGTTGCTAACAATTGTCGGTGTCAACATACGCACAAAATATAGAATAAGAGAATCACATAAATTATACAGTCTATCAACAGCAGACCCCGTGCTCAGGAATGGGTTTTACAACATATAATTGAAAAATATTCAAAAATATTCTTTGCAAATTCCTATTTGTGACTAATTTGATTAGCATCGGATCATTTGTGTACGGTAATAATAATGATTTCCCAACCATTTGCCAGGCCATAAACAAGAGCAAAGATAATAGCTGAACTATCTATACGTACACCTCACCAATTTAAGCTGAATTTTGAGAACAAGCGAAAACATGCTGACTACCGACAACATTTGCAGGCTGGCAAACTTAAGTACGAGCTAAATCATCATTTGCTCTAAATGAATTCTCAAATTCGCTCATAAATTTCGTGCCAGTCTTCAAAGTTCTAAGCAAGATGCGTGGCTTGTTTTACGATTGCCAGTTTTATTCCCATTCTCATTGCCCTTTCTCATTCTCATTCGCATTCGCATTCGCATTCTCTGTCTGAAACTCATTCGCATTGACTGTGGCATTTCTCATCAGATCTGCCTGCCTTGTCGAGATACTCAAAAACTTTGATGGATTTCTATGCCTGCCCCATGCCGTTTCGCTCTGGCATAGAGCTTGGGTGTGCTTAGGTTGGATTATGTTAATAGCCAAGTTGGAATTAGCCTGCAAAGGATTTCTCTGCGTGCGGTGCATTAAAATTTATCGACTGAGTGTCTATATGACTGTGGCGTATGTAAATTGATTGTGGCTCACGGTTAAGCCGCGGGCTGTTCCATGGCAGGCAGGCAGTCAGGGCGGGAGCGAGGTAGGTGGTGCGAATGTACAACATCTCTCGTAAAGTTCGTCTTGGCGCAATTATGACTTTTAGCAGGCAACTGAGTGGCCTCATCTGGCCGACGGGTTTTAAGAGTTTTACGACTTGGACATAAACCCACAAGTGGCCACAATGCAATCGTAAATTTTGCGACTGCAAATCAAATTAGTGCAGCTCTCTCAGGCTTATATACATATAGAAAATATAACCGCTAGATGTACAGCATTTCATTCGTATGATGTGCTGGTAAAACAATGGAAATAAGGCTAAGCTCTTAACGAGACATTTATTTGAAAAAATATTTGTAAAATGTTATAATAAAATCTACAATATTGACTTACGAACTTGAAAAAAAAAATGTGCCATGGCTTAAGTGTTATGTCATGTGCAAGTTTTGTAAGCTTAAAGTTCGGAATCATATTCGCCAAGGGCTAAGAACTTTTAAATATAACAAAACACATGTTTTTCGTTGAATAGCGCTTGATAGAACAAAAGATAGCTCTGCATATGCTGTAAAATATGTTTTTATACAAATTTTGATACCCATGCTCAATTAACAATCAAATTTAAACGTCCTCAATTTGTTTTTTTTTTTTTTTTTTATTTATTTTGTTAACAAACAGCCAGCAGCTACACTTTATGTGTGCTCACACTCAAAGCTAAAGTGTGCAAGGGCTTAGTTGAGTTGAGTTGGGGTGATTTTGTTTCTTTTTATACCGCTATTCATCTTTGATCTAAAAAGGTTTTAACTAAGTACTCTAGTTATAGAGATTTTTCACATCTTTTTCTTATTTTGATTCCCCTGTTTTTGTGCGTAATTTAAGCAGACATTTGCAATTATAATTTCCTCAAAACAAAACAAGATTATGTGTTAATATCTATTTACTGAAAGATAAAATTTATATTTTCTTTTTAAGAAAAACTTAAAATGTAATTGTTGAAAGTTTCTCAATTGTGTCAATGAGGTAGAGACTGCTTCTTGGTACTGATTTTTCCCCTTTATATCTTTCTCTTGCTCAGTCTCTCTCTCTCTCTCTCTCTCTCTCTCTCTGTCTCTCTCTCTCTCTAAGCTACCTGTTTTCTCGCCCATGTGCATATAGAGTTATTAATGCAATTAACTGCCTGCGGTCTGACCGCCTGCAACTTATTGTAGCATACTTTTCTGCGCCCACGAGTAGAGTCTGTGTGCTTATGTGTGCGTGTGTGCTGAGTTTTGCATATTTGATCGATAGACGGAAAAACTTGACTTGGCATTGTGTTGCTGCAGCGTTCTATAGAGTAGCTGCAGTTGTTGTTATTGTGTTGATGCTGCTGCCAGTTGCTGGCTGCTCTGCATAGAAATGCGAGAAATGCGTGTTGCCCAGGCCACGATGCCAACGGCAGTCAATTTTCTTGTTTACAATGCCACACACACACACACTCACACTCACATTCACACACACCCACACATACATGTGCAGCGTACACACACACTATGACAAATAACAAACAATTACAACAGCGCGGCGGTTGTCTCTCAGTCGTTGTTGTTGTTGCTTTTTCGCCGCAATAAATACAATTTGCATGACAAAATAGCAAACAACGGCAACTTTTGCATACGTGCGTGTCTGTGTGAGTGTGTGTGTGTGAGTGTGTGTGTGTGTGTGTGTGAGCGTCTGCAGGTTCACTCAGCCAAACAAAACTACACACAAAAACAATCAACTGCCAGGGCCGTCCAACCGGCAGCAGTAGCAGCGACAGCATCAACAACAACAACAACATCATCATCAGTTAGGCTTTATTCTGAGCTGCTGCAGCTTCTGCCTCTGCCTCTGCTTCTGCTTCTGTACCCTCCAACTCCCGCTCCCCCTGCTGCTGCTGCTACTCTATGGAACAACTTATGAATATTCAATTTTACATAAAAGATTTTTGTTGTTGTCGTAACTGTTGTTATTTTGATTTCTTTTTGGCTCGACTCTCTTTCTCGTTCTCGCCCCTTCGCTCTCTCTCTCTCGCTCCCACGCTCTCTGTCTCACTCAGTACACTTCATGGGCGAGAAGTCTTCATGCGTGCTATGAAATGTGGAAAATATGAGATAGGCTAGAAGGCGAACTGGCCAGTAAGAAAAGCAGTAGCAACAGCACTGAGAAAAATTTAAGACAATATTTTTAAATGCTAGAAGCCATTTTTGAATCAAATTAATTTAAAGACTCGGTAGCTTTTCAAAATTGCTAGGCTAGCTGATACCCTGTACAAAGTTGCCCCTTAAAACAAAGTAGCTACAATTAAATATTAAAAGGCAGATATTTAAGCCCCTTTCCTTTCTCTCCTAGTTAAAAGAATTTTCTGAATATTTTAATATTATTTTAATATTTATTTCGTAATATAACTAATATATAAACTTTCAAAGCACATAATTTTTGACTATAATTTATGAAAAGCACTGGACAATTATCACAATACCTAAGGTCAAGATTTTGAAAACAATTCGTCTGGCTCAGCAGATTAATCAAATCAGGCGATTCCGTCAAACGGCAAATGTTCCAAAAATGTTGATTAAGAATATCCTAATTTTTTTTTCTTTGTGTATTATTTAGTCCAGATCGATATTTTTAGCCAAATAAGTGTTGCCTGTTTGTAGCTTGGACATGTTCATGGTGACCAAAGATTTCAATAAGTCATCCATGCTGATGACCAGCTCGCTATCGTCCAGCAGCTGCTCGTCCATGACGCTCCCCTCCTTGACCATTATATCGCGCATAAACTGACGCATACGATAGATGCTGGCATGCCGGCACAGCTCCCGCAGATCGGAGCCTGAATAGCCAGGCGTCAGATTGGCCAAACGTTTCAGATCGACAGACGAATGCAGCTGCTCGTGCTGCAATATCACCTGTAGTATTGCCAAACGTTGACACTCAAGCGGCGGTCCTATGTGAAACTGTGCGGGCATGCGTCGCAATATGGCCTTGTCCAAATCCTGTGGGCGATTTGTGGCGCCCAGCACAAGCACCGAACAGCTGGTGCTGCTAATCAGTCCATCCCACAGCATCATGAACTGTGTCTTCATCATGGCCGTCGCCTCATGATCCCCAGTGGCGCGCATGCGCAAAAACGATTCGATTTCATCGATAAATATAATGCACGGTTGCAGCTTGTGGGCCAGCGTAAAGACTGCTGTGGCCAGTTTCTGGGATTCGCCATACCATTTGTCCGTGAGCACTGCCACATCCAAATTGATGAAACGCATGCACGCCTCCTTGGCCATTGCCTTGGCTATCAATGTCTTGCCACAGCCGGGCGGTCCATAGAGCAGCACACCCTTTGGCGGCCGCCAAAGTTGTGAGCGTTGGAAAAGATCGCTGTGACGCACCGGCAACACAACTGATTCGCGTAGCTCCTGTATAACAGTGTCCAGGCCGGCAATATCCGACCAGCTGACATCGATGTCTGTCGGCGCAATCAGGTGCGAGGCTATCATCAGTTCATAGCAATTGAAATCGTTTAGCTTCAGTTTGCCTTGTCCCTTGCCCGTCATATCGTTCAGTTTCTTCAACTGTATCTGGGCCAATTCCTTGGCCTTCTTTTTGGCCTTGTTAGTCGGATCTATGGAGCTGATTAGCCACTTGGCGCAGTAATAGGTAACTGCTGCAACAATGCCAATTCTCACCAGCTGCGTCACAATTTGACAGCCTGACCTCTGGGTCGCCTCCATTGTCAATTTATAATTATTATTAAAATACATGTGCACAAATCTTACAAGACGAGATTAGGGGACAGCTTGACAGCTGGTACAATGCAACAAATTTTATGTCAACAATTTTTAAATCAACTGCTTAAACGAGCTCAAGCTGTCAGTAAAGAAAATTTTGATTAGTTTTCCAATTTGGTAGAGAATATATGATTTTTTGTATGCATATGTTATTATACAGAGAATTGATTTTCACGTTCACGCGTGAACTGATTCCGTTAAATCTTGCAGATAAAAAAGCATAAATATTTGTATCATTTCTGCAAATATAAGTTTTATTCATGCATATGATTTAGAGATTTTAGTTGATTTTCACATGTAAAAGTGAGTTTAATCCGTTTAATCTTACCAAAACTAGGCGTCGTTACAAGAGCAAAACCTACGATTAATATCGGCAAAACTTATAATTGTTTAGATAGATATACATAGATATGGTTCTAGTTGCCCATGCTTAAATCGATTTCCACTTTTACCAACGACATAACAATCCCATTCCGCCTGCCTAAGTGAATTCAATTCGTCATAGCACAGGTAATTAATAAAATACTTAAGATGAATTTACTTCCGCAAAATCTTGCTGAATCAAGCCAATAAAACATAAAGTGAAAAGGAATTAAAATTAAAACAATTGCATTGCATTTTTTTTTTTGAAGTTTGAAGTCCGCCAATTAGTCAACCCTGTTTGCTGACTCACGTGGTAAATGCTTTTCTCTCAGTGCATGTTGTTTTTTTCTTCTTCTTCTCAATGGCGCTTTGGCCAGGCTGCGCTTAATTTCTGTTTAACTTTTCCTGTTTGCTCTGGCCCTGTCCGAGCAAAAAATGTTTTCTAGTTTAGCATCTTTTAGCGGAAGTCAATGTAACAAAAGATAAACTTGTCCAGCCAGCTGCTGCTGTTGCTGCTGCTGCTGCCGCCGCCGCCTTTTTGTTTGCTGCGCGTATTGAATGCGTGTAGGACGCAACAAGGAGTATGTCCGGGCTAGGGGCCGGGGTTGGGGAGCAAAACGTTCAAAGAAGCACAAGTATTAACTAAACACTGCAGCAATTTATCTTGCTCGAACCGCCAGAGCTTCAGCCACGAACCTCTAAGCCAAAGTTCGCTTTTGTCCAGCGAGGCGCGCGTAGGTCAGTTTTGTTTTAAAGTTTCTTAAGTCGCGTCTTACATGCTCCCATCCCCCATCGCCCAGCCTCGCCCCGCTCAGCGGAAGTCGCTGCGCACTGTTGTTTTGCGCTTCCTTCCGCATTACAAAAGAATTACTCAACACAAAATGTCTGGCCAAAGTTGGCCAGGAGATGAGATGCTCTGAATATTCGCTGGATCAGCAGGTGCCAGACGGCCTTTATAAGCGTGTCAAAAATAAAAAAATAAAAATAGAACAAAAAAAATCAAATCAAATGCAAAAGATAAGCAAAAATAAAACAAAAGTAAGGCTGCTCGTTGATTAAAAATATGCTCAAGATTGCGGGTGTTAATCTCGAAAGAAGTTTTAATATTGCAAAAGCAGGTTTTTGATTACATTTTTATTTTTAGCCTATAGATTTTGATAGTTCAAATGAGACCAAGTTTTTAGGTGAACTCCAGATGCTTGTGGAAAAATCAACTTTTATTTTCGTTTCATATTTGTATGAAATTGTTTCCCCCTTTTGATTAATTGATAATGATATTAGAGTTAATGTTTTATTATTTTAAGACATCCTTAAAATGCTTAAAAGATTGCACGTACATTTATCAAGACAAAATATTTAAAGTTCAGCTGGATATATAATATGCATATAACTGGATATTTTCAGTTTCAGATAAATAAAATGTCTCATTAACTTTAGTATTAATTTTCTTCTAAAACTACTCCAGATCCTAACTCGTAAAACCATTCCACAATCTTCTGATATCTCTTGCTGCTGAAAACCCTGCTCCGAGTTCTGTTTGCTGCACCTTGTCTGACGTAATCCAGGCAATTTCTATGCACATTTCGGGCGTCTTTAGCTTTAAGCTCGTTAGCGTTCGCTCCTTGTCCTTGTGCGCGTCCCCAGCTACTTTTGAAGAGTTTATAAAAATCACTTCAACTGTGCAATATTTCATGATTTCGCGTCAATCTTTTGAGCGCCGCTCAACGCCATCCAGAATGTGGGCGCCAATGGGCGTGGCTATGTTGCTACTTGGACTTCTCTGCCTGTACTGCTACAATGCTTCACTCTTTGTGAGCGTCAAGTTCGCTCGTTCGTTCTACTGAGCACACGAAAATTTAATTATGTTGTTTGTTACTGTTTTTGTTGTTCCTGTTGAAGCAGCCGCTTTCACTCGCCGACTTTTGTCACAGTTAGAAAATAATCACAGTCCAAAAAAAAGAAAAGAAATGGAATTCACAAAAAATAAACAAAAGCAGGAAAAATATTTTGTCGCCTAGTTGAAGTTTTAATACACTCGAATATTTGTGGGTTTTACTTTTGGCAAAATATCTCAAAAACGAAATGCTGGTAAAAAACCAAAAAAAAAAAATTGAAAATTAAAAAAACTACGAAAAGTTGTCCTGTAATAAACCCATATATAAAAAGGGCATAATGTTTAATTATGTCTAAAAAATAATTCTTACATTAACAACTACTTATTAGAAATGTTTTTCAGCAACCTTTTAAATATCCAACTCTTTCAGAACTCTCGATGAAAATTTGGTTCATCCAAAATACCGAGAAACTTTTTTTTTTTTGAAGGGCATCCCGAAAAAGTCTGTTGACAGTCGTTGGAGTCGTGCATAAAAGAGCAGCATGAAAATCACACGCTTTTCATAAAAATATTTTCGCTGCTCCCCTCTTATCATCCACATACTTTCACAGTCCCCAAAAACCCCAACTTTCCTTTCTTGTTCATAGTTATTGCCTGGCTTACTTTCCACTTTCTGTCAGAGGCAGCACAAAATATGCGAATAACTATGTAAAATGTACACTTCCCTGCCCACCTCATCCTACCTTTACAGAAATGGGGAACAATTTTCGTTGGCAAGAAAAGTGCCAAAAACTGTGAAAAGGTGCGCCAGCTTAAAATAAAGAGAGAAAACTGCTAAAACTCTGCATCATACAAGTTCTCCTTTTCCACTTCCAAACTCTCCCCGCGCAGCTGTTTTGTTTCTTTATTGCTGCTCTAAAGTCAGGAATGCAATATTTTGAGCCACAACTAATGAAAATAGATGGCAGTACTGAAGAATTACTTGGAAGTACTCAAAAGTAACCAAGAATATGATTACTAAGGTAAAATCTCTATTAATAAAACTCTTCTCCTGGCCGCCCGACCGACTAAATGAATTATTGACTGTTGGACAGAATGACTGACTACCTGCCTGATTGTCAACACACAGCCCAAACCGAAAGAGCTCAAAAGCTGAAATTTTTATTGTAGTTATCTTTTAAGATGTAGTTTCACGCTGAGGCGGGGCTTTAGGAAATTTCACGCGCAAGCATGGAAAAATCGGGATAAACAGTTGTATAAAACATACATACAAAAGCTGTTGAAATTTATTTAAGTTATATTTCACACCTTTCGCAAAATCAAGAGTTTTCTAAATGAAAATTTATTTGTCGGCAAGCAGCTTCAGCTTATTCCCGGGGAATATCCGAATTATACTTAAAAGAAATGAATTCGGTTGTTTAAATTATGCAGCTCGTCGTCATTACATTAATTAAGGTCTTATTGTAATTGGAATACCCCTTGCGAGGGTGTAAGAAAACTTTCAGTAATAAACTCAAGATTATCCAGCTAAACGTTTCAAATGAAAGTTTTCTACCATGAAAAAATTTATTAAATGGGACTTGCAAAAAATTTTTGAACGGAATTAGAATAGTTAACGTTCCATAAAATATATCTATGGTGCACAATTAGACGTTCAACTTCCAGAATCTGTAATGACAGTACGACAAATTGAGAAACCTTGTTTATGCAGGCACTATGCTACCCAGGAAATATTATACTTATGACAAGTGAACTATTTTTTTTTTCGGTTTGTTACAAATCTGAATTTCTGAAATAAATGCTCGTTTCCCTATCAATTATTTGCACTTCCTGCATCGTTACAAATGAGCTTTCAGATGATAACGAACCACTGGCGTGTCTTCTCTCCTGAATTCTAGTCATGATCTTTTGATACAGTGCATCCACATGCGGTGCCATATAGATATCTAAACGTACGCCACTCTCAACCTCATGCAGCAGCTGGATGCAGTGATCAAATTCGTTTCTAAAGAACTTGGACAAAATCTCCCACATGATGGGCGACAGGTCAAAGAACGGCTTGAATGCCTCCGAGTTCAGACAGCCTAGCTGCAGCATTTCCGGCTCCAATGTGGCCAGACCGCACAGGCCAGCATAAAATGCCACATCCTGTGGCGCCACAATCTTATCATAATCGTATCGCTCAAAGGGCGTCAACAGGAAACAATGCGCCGCCGTCTTATAGATCTTCAGGCCCATATTGGCCAGACCCGCGGCACAGCTTAGCTGGGCGGGCACGATGCGTGCCAGATTTGGAAAGCCGCACGCATACTGCTTGGCCTCGTCAATGTAGCTGAGCACATGCCACCAGTTGGCCATATAGATGGACACCCGAATTAGATTGCGGAACATATTGATCACATTGTCGCTGGTGGTGCAATAGGGACGCGCCCGAGCATAGAATTTCACAGCCAGCTGCAGATTGCCGCTCTTCACATGATAATCCCCAATCTCTTCCAGAATGCGTCGCACATAGGCGCTGCCCGAATTTGATTTCTTAAAATTGAGCTCAGCATCGAGCTCCTGCAGCAGCAAAGTGGCCTCCATGGTGTTATCCTCCACCCAGTAGGCGTCGTAGAGGTGTGCCTTGTTGGAGCCGCTGTCTGCCTCAGCATTATCGGGTCTCGATGATGCCGTAGTCGAGCTGGAAGGTGCCCCCTCACTCGCCTCTGTGACGGCCATACTGCGCTCACGCTCAGTGCACAGCGTTCGGTACAGCTCCTCATACATCTTCACATTGTACGTCTTTTTCACATGATTGATGGCCAGCTCCAGCGCCTCGACGCGCAGCTTGGGGCACACCTGTGCAATAAACTTGAGCCGTATCAGCCGGGCAGTATCCATATAACGTTTCGCATAGCTGATCAGAACTATTTGCGGATCCTGCACAGTGGCACACTGAGAGACGGTGGTCGATTGCACAAAGCTAGTTACGCTCCGGGATGCGGAGTGGGAAATCATTTTTACAGCTGAAAAAAGGAGCTGGCCGGTCAGCTGGAATATATTTAGTAATTTTGTTGATTATATGAACTAAAAAAAAAAAACAAACACTCAATTACATGCCAAATATTACCTAGCTTACCAGATCTGTGCAGCGAACATCTTCTCAACAATATCTTCCAGGTGCTTCTATTTCCTTGCAGATGTGCGATTTATTTCTATACTAATACTTCATTTGCGGCAGAGCTGCAAACCTCCGAAAAAAAAAAACGTCGCTGGTTCAACCAATGCCTCACACCAACATCCTGCTTCAGATTTGGTTCGTAAGCGTGGTTTTCCACATATGTAAACCCAGATATGTTGGGGGCTTGATAAATCCAATGTATGAGGCCCAAGCTATTTGTGCTTTAGAGTTGAGTCTCTCTCAAAAATTTGTTTTAAAAAAAATATGATATGCTTCCGGGTTGGTTTCAATTGTTTTTTATGATAGCTGGTTTAGTTAGATGTTTGGTTGATATTTAATAAATTAAATTAAATGATTGCAGTCTTGTTTCCAGTACTATATAATTTTAATTACTAATTGTTCCTATGGGCGATATAGTTGTCAGTTTTGCTTAAATTTGCGGTTCTTTGCCCGAAAAGCCTAACAAGAACAAGAATGAACAACAGTTTGTTCATACAAAAACTCTTTTCACACTGACAGCCCGAAGATTTGTTCCCCAATGCATTTCACAATTTGGGCGAAAGTTATTTAAAAGTTATTTAAATACCCATTTCACCCATTTTTCATAGCTTCTGGCTTCACATGTACTATTTATCTTATGTCCTAGCTCCGCTTTGCGAGCCAGTATGGAAGAACACAAAATCCGTATGCTATAAACATATATTTCATTCTGAAATATGAACCTGGTGAAAGAAATATAATAGGATTGCAAAATACAAGAAATTCGCACGATTGAATACGCTGCCATTTAGCAGAAATCAAACATGCGAACTTTCCAATCTGACCGCCAGGTGTCGTGACAAGCTGCAATTGCACGTGTGTTTCTGCGTTTATGTGTGCGTGTATGTGTGTGTGTGTGCGTATGTGTATGTTTGTGTTCGTGTGTGACAAGACTTGAGCTGAGCTCAGCTCAGTAGAAGAAATTCTTATGTATCTGCAGCTGGGCAGCCGCTAACAATGTGCACAACGAAATTCCATTACGAAGATACAAATCAAATTGCCAAATGGCATTGGAAGCTGTCGATGGGGTAGCGGGGGCCACCAGCTGGAGGGGAGAAAACGTGCTTTCCTTTGGCACTTGGCGAAAAAAAGATATATATATTTGTATGCAAAAATCAAATTACCAGAGCTTGAAAAATCGCAGACATCAGAGACACATAAATCAGAGGGCGCCAAAAACTTCAAAAGGCCAAAACGAAACCAAAGAAATTGTTACCGCTATTTAACGGTTTATTGATGCGTCGCTTTAGCAGAATTTATTGGCCTGGTCGTTGGCCGTTTTTGTGCTAGCCCGTCGCCTGCCCCCAAACCACCCCCACACCCCACCCAACCAGACCTGCAAACTGAAGTGGCAATGCAAAATGTGAAGCTTGAAAAACGTGCAAAATGCTTCGAATTGATTTGACTTCTTGGTATTTGCCTGCGGTAGTCCAGGTAGCCCATTTCTCAAACGAGGTGTTGATTCCGTTGCTACCCACAAAGGCAAAGCATAGAAAAAAATAGTCCAAAAGATAAAAGGAAAACCTCAACAATAGCATATACTTGCGCTGATTTCGGTTTTAATGATTTCGATGATGATGCATCATAATGATTAAATGTAGGCATTAATATTATAAATAGAACGGAATCATGGAGATGTGAATATTTCACTTCCATTATTGTTGCTGCATTTTTATATTGGCAGCGCCTCATCCAGACCAAAAAAAATTAACAATAGCTCATAAAACACATGAGACTTAAGATTAAATGAAAATATGAATATTTAAAACTTAAATTCTTTAAGTTGGGAAAAAACTTTAAAAGTTCAGAAAGAAGACAAAAGTTAAAGCTTTAGGGAAAGTAAGTAAAGGGTTTCACTTGCTTGAGCAGCAGGCCAGGTTGATTTCTTTGAGGAGAGGAAATGTTTCGGCCTTCCCTCGTAACCGAAATTTATTTAACTTTAAAAATAAAATACATTTTTAATTGCATGCAACTGTTTTGCGTCGTGAAGTGTGTGCTTTACCATGTAGCAGCCCTCAATTTGTATGCTCATTATAAATATTTGCCGTGTGGATAAAGTGCCTTGCAAATATAAAATTGAGAAAGTGATATATTGATGCATAGAAGTGGATGAAAATTCTGATGGCACGCCTTACAATTATACGCTTGGAAATTGCATTTTAGGTCAAGCTCTCGATGCGGACATTATGACTAGGCGTGTGTCAGACGTGGGGTCTTTGATTAAGAGTAACAGAATGTGGCGGCCTGACGACAATGTGGAGTCGTAGACTGCTGACGGCAATCAAAGTCACAAAATGTTAGCAATTGACATGTAATAGACCAGGACCAGAGCTGCAGTTGCCAGGGTTGGGGTCGAGCTCTCTACTATCGCCGACGCGCTGGCATCGCTTTCAGTTTGACGCTTTCGACGCGTGCAAATTTCTAATTTCATTAAAATTTGTTCGTTCCGCTGATCAGAGTGGGCGTGCACATGGTCGGGGTGGGGGCTGGAACGTTGCTCAGACGTTGACAGACACAAATCGACAATAGACGTCAACACATGAGCCCTGAGAAGAGAGGGCTAGCGGGGGCGTGGTCTATGCCTGGACGACAGCTTTGGCAATCAAAATGCGCCGATCAAAGTAGAAAATCGATTTTAATTGCAATCTAGCGACGCTTAGCGCTCGATGGTCGGTCGAGTGAGGGGCGTGGAGCGTAGGGCGTTCAAAGGGCGTGGCCTGTCCTGCCCATCAGTACAGTACAGTGTGTATGTGTGAGTGACAATTGCTTTTTGCAGCGACATGACGACGCACGCCAAAAAAAAGGGGCCAACGCGAAATATTGAATCAAAATTTTGGATGCCGCAGCGAGTTGTCGCAACCAGACATTGTCGATGTTTTGACTAATGTGTCGCCATTTGTAGCGTCACTTGCCGCAGCTACTCCACACAGATACACACGCACACAAGCGCATACACAACGCATTGAAAACCATTAAAACTGCGGCACAATCGCCGCTCAAAGGCAACACAATCCGGCTGTCAAATTTAACAAGAGCCCAATTAGGCCACGCCTACCCACGCCTACAAAAATTTGACAGAAAAAAATGGAAACAAAGTGAGGCATCAGACGAGACATTAATTATCGCATATATGACGGCAAAAAGAATAGACAGTTCCTGGAATATAAAGCCCACAAATCGATTTGTGGATTTCGAGTGTCTGGCTTTTAACGCGCCTATTAAAGTAGATTTCATAAGTACCTTAACGTTTAAATATAAATATTTATGTATGTGTATTTTGCTCCCTACACATATATGCAAAATATTATCATCATCGGCTTACTATATCAAATAGCTTCCATAGGAACGATCCGTCGAAAAGGTGGTTCTGATATGGAGAACTTGTTTTATAATAAGATATGATATGATTTATGGAATTAAGATCCCATCAACATCGGCCATATATATAGCTGATTTAGGAAAGATCGGTGGACTAGTATGTTCTGGTATGACAAAATATTCTGTTTTCAAAGATGTTTTCAATACACTCAGATTTTTCGAGCTGCACTATTCTCACATATCAAAAGGAAAATGTCCACAAGGGTATTCAATCTTCGGCGTGGCGAAGATATTCTTACTTTCTCGATAATGTTTATATGTTCTCTTTGAACATAACTTTGTGTCATAAAAGTTTTCTAAATTATTTTAAAATTTTGTTTATAATTAATTTTTTGGCTTTTTTTCTTTATATATATATATATATTTTGGCCTTCCTTAACTATAACCACATAATTTCTTGCAGTGTAGTTGCACTTATTCATTTATTTTGCATGCACATTTTTAAAGCCCTTTGTTGTCCTTGCACTTGACTTGATGCACCAGGACAATGTCCATTGCTTGTGCAGCACTTGAAAGTTGTCTGTGCCCAACTGTCCGCATGCCAGACCGTCTGTCATGCTCATAATCACGATAAACAAAATGTGCAACAGTTTTTGCCACACTTTTGCGGCAATGTGTGAAATTTAATTATATTTCAATTTAATTTACCACCCCGACCAGCCGCCCCCTTTGTTCCCTTTCACCGCAGGAAATTAACAGCAATGGACGAGCTGAAGCTTTTCCCTTGCTGCCTTTTGAGGAACATGGACGGGCAGCTGCAATGCGTCATAGTGCCACGCCCACTGCACAGCCGCCTTGCCCTTTATTGCTGTGCTAATTAAGTTTGGGTTTTGCGTTTAATGTCAGTTGGGCTGAGCATTTGCTCGAATAGATGAGGTGTGTTGGAGGGCGCAGCCTATTTTCCGCCATTTTCTTTGCATTTCTTTTCTGCTTTGACAAGTTTTTCTTTATAATGTGAGCATTAAAATTAAGTTTAGCTGCAGATCTTTTTAGCCCCAAGACTACGCAGAAGTTGTCCTCTCAACTTCTGTCCTTTGCGACTGCTTGAAAGCCTTTTCCATTTTTTCTAATTTATTGCAATAATTTTCTCTTTTAAATATCTTTTCATTTTCACGCACAGCCAAACCTAATGGAATTAAATTGCCTGGTCAAAGGCTGAGGCGGACACCAGAAAAGTGGTATTAAAAAAATATTAATGTGATAAAAAAGCAAAAAGTGTGTACAAAATAGTAAAGGAAAATATATAATACAAAAATATATATCAATTAAATAAAATGAAATTAAATAGAATAAAAAATAAAATGTATAATATAGTGAAAACAGATATTCAAAACTATATAAAAAGGTATAAAATATAATATAATATAAAATATAATGAGAACATATAACATATTTATACTTATATACTATGCTATAATATAAATTATTAAAGATCACAACAACCTAAAAAGACGAATAATAAATGGAATACGAATTAAAATATGAGAAACTC